TCTCGATGAATTCAACGATGAATTCAGCTTTCATTGCTCGTCGACAGAAAATTGACCAGTACAAGTGAGTTGTATCGCAAGCATTTCGAATTGTGAGAGCTTATCGTTGATTAGGATGTTTGCTCGTAATTTCTGGACAGTGTCTAAGGATAAATTTTCTTGAGTGGTAGCATTCGGGAGGCAACTTTGTGCAGGTTTCGGTTCTGCTGTTTGAACAGTTGTCGGTTTTGAACAACTGGTCTTTTGCTGCGGACAGACACTGCTTGGAGGCGATAATGGAAATATGCATTTTTTGATTAATCAACAGAAATGATCGAAGAAAATTCTGAGTGTTTTTTGGGCCAACAACTAACAAGCTGTTGTGATTTGCAAGTAACAAACTGTTTTGAGTTTAAACAATTCTGAGCAGTGCGCCATTTCATCGCAAAAATCCATCGCTAAACATTCCAAATTCAACAACCATCATCATTGCTCGAAGTACTCAATTGTGCTTCATTCTTTTGAGGCTTGTGGCCTTCATTTCTGTGCATATCGAATCAAACGCAACCTCATGCATTTGTTCTCTTATATTTGAAACTTCATCTGCACTAACGACCATATTATGATGCAGTGAAAATCTCCTAAAAGGCTCGTTTTCTTATCAGTACAAGTTTGAAACTCGTTTTACTTACAAAGCACCTAAAATGAACCGTTGTTCATCTGTCATAAGTAAGCAAACTATTCTAGAAATAGGTATCTCCAAAAAATCTTCACAATCTTATAGAGGTGATAAAGGACCAATAAAATGATTACCTGAAGATCTGCAATATAATCGATGATTCTTTGAAGAAGTTCAAGCTGAGATAAACCTTCGTGGGCATACGGCACGATCCTTTGCAATTTGGCGAGTGTCGCCTTACGTTCTCGGCGCTCTTGTGACATTTTGGCAATGCGTCGTCGTCGAGAGGAAGGTGGATCACTGCACTCCGAATTGGACGCGGAAGTGCTAGACGATGGACTGGATGTGGTGGACATTCGATGTGGAGATGAAGTACTGCAAAAGGCTCATTGCATCGTCAGTTCGGCGTTAAATTGCGATTAAGTGACTGCGAGCGATTAACGATGCACGTAAAATTGAATGTCTCAAATTGATCTACGAAAAGCTGTTGTATGATTGAAGTGAAATGCAATTGTACATGCGAGGATCACTTTTTGTTGTTGCTGATGAGATGACTGATGATCAGAAATTAATCGACTGAAACGGGATTCACTGCAATTTAGGACAGCATCTCCTAACAATACGAATTGAGTGATCATCAGCAGTAAAAACAATGTAAACGAGACTTCTCAAGAGTGATCATTCTTGGAAATTAGGTGGAACATATTGATAGTTAAAATACAATAACAGTGCCATTGAATGATATCTTTCGGCCAGTTTGTGCGATAAATTGAGCGCAGTGGATTCAGCGAAATTTGCGGACTCAAGAGATATCTAACGATGTTTTGAAATCAACCAAAATTTTCTGAGAAAGAGGTTTTCCTTGGGGTTGAACATGCGATGTCAGAAATCAGCTATAAACACATTCACTCGATCATTGGATTACTTCAAATGTTTCCTCAAATTATCTCATTCGATAAATACTAACTCCAGTTCCCAAGCAGTTGACAGCAAAGCGATCTCCTGAACTGTTTATCTCACAAAAGCATCGAATCAATTGATGAAAGTGAGGGGAGGTAGATCAGTCTGGTTCTCGATCAGTTCTTTTCTAATCGCCTCCTTGCAAAAACGTAGCAAGCGAAACCAAACACTTTGAGGTCATTGATGAAAAAATTCACTGTTTTGAATTGACTGAGTGTGCAAGCCAAATGGTACAATAATAGAGAAGTGGAATGNCTGTTATGAGTTGATGAAGCATCATCACCTCACCACAACCAGCATAAGTACCATGAATATGATCACTAAACATTGAAAACTATCCCAAACTCTCAGCCATAAATATAACCACGCCCTAAGCGAGCGATCCACCAAGAGCCACCAACCTGCTGTTCGCACTGCTCAAACAAATAACTACAGCTCTACCTCTACAATTACTATTACTAGTTCGAGTACCTCTATTATTACTATCAAAAGCACACAAAAAGCCATTGCAGGGGCCACGCCCCGACACATCAGATGAATTCGGATAATATTTAGCAGCGGTTAACAGCACACCAACATCGCTGCCTGCTCGCAAACACATGCAGACAGCTGTGCTGCGCACCTGCGCAACTCTTTTGCTCGTCAGTCGAGAAGCACCTTACATTGGTTGGGTTCGGTGGGTACTGGACACAATCCTAGGAATATGTTTGTCGTGGATGAACAGCTAAATCGAGTCTTTCACATTGCCGGCCTACAAGAATTTATTATTGACGAGCAGTTGCTAGTGCAATCGACTTTGTTTGTGCTGGCGATGTTAATTATGATTTTGAGCAGAACTTAGCGCTGGAATAAATTAATACAATACGAAAGAGAACGAAAAAGCAATCCTCAGGATGGAACAATGATTACGTCAAAGAATTCAATGGAATTGCAAGAAGATTGCACTCCAAAATCGTCGACTTCATTGATGAGTGTGGAATTAAATATTTTGCAATAGTTAGTGATTGGTCGTTGACAAATGAACAGAGATGCACTAATGAGGTGTGACACAGGGCAAACTCTGTTTGTATCGTAGATGAAGTTAATTCGGTGTGGGTTATTCGTTAATGAAGATGACGCGTCAGAATTTTTCTCATTTAGAATCCTCTCACAAAAAATTACCATAGTGATGCAACCAAGTCGAGAAAAGATTTTGTGAGTTACGGCCAAACGTTCAGCTAAACCAGTAACGCAGCTGACTATCCAACAACACCGAGAATGAAAATATCGGTTTCGTTTGTACAGCATGAGCATCACGACACCAACGTAAGTGTTTATTGCTACAACTAAACCACTAATTTCTGAAGATAGATGCAATGTATAGTTTAGTACATCAACATTGATCAAAACATAATTAATGAAAAAACAATTAAATACAATCACAAAGCCTGTAACTATAACCGTAATCAGTAAGTTCCAAGGCCGAAAGTCATATCCAATCTTACAGCGATAGCAGTTCATTGAGCACATGTCCCGTTTGTTAATTTGCATCAGACAATATACACCTAATGAGTAATTCAAGCAGTTGTTTGCAGACATTAGGTTTTTAAATTCATGACAATGCAATTTTAAACCATTCTTCGTTACGTTCAACAACTGTCGCCTATTTGTCTTATGTTTGGTTTCGAAATTCTGAACACACACCGAGTAGCTCTCATATTTCTTTAGAATTGACGAACAGCTGAGGCGATTGAACGAATTCATTGCAATTATCATCTTCACGGATTACTTCGAATCAAACTATACTCCTCACACATATGAAACATCTAAGTAAATTTCGTCACCAATCAACTGATTCAAACGCTTCAAAGTTGAAAATTTTCGATAACCGATACAGAAGATTGGCACGGCTTTTCTTTCGCTGAGATACTGTCGAGACTATCCTGCAGATGCTTCATCAATAACAAAGCCTTATTATGCATACAAGTAGGGAAATTTCGATAGAATATCACTGTAGAATACTTCCGAGATGAAATCTGACGACAGATGTAAGCGATTCGACATTGATAAAATCTCGCCTTGTTGCGGATCTCATTTCATAATATTTTGTTGCGTATTGCGGTACAACGGCATTGACCGCTACTGCCTGCAGATCAATTTTAACGAGATTAAATGCATTATAAACGTTAAGCTAAATGGATTAACTGCTTCGAAGTCATCAAGATATATACGAATTAATATGAATGAATCGACGCCTGCGTCTTGAGAAGTTAATGGCATTGATGTGACAGAAACAAAATCGCACAATTGTCTTTTTCAGAAATACCATAATGACACGAGCACACAGTAGTGAGAGTGTTATTGAAATATGGTGTGCATTCACAACATATAAACTTGACAAAATCGCATAATATTTTCATACGAAAATATATTTGACCACTAAACATGATCAACCAGCCATTTTAGAAGCGCATACAGACAACAGCTGCCTTAAATATGTTGAATGTCTGTTTGTGTTTGTTGCTTTATTAACTTCTTCACTCGCAGAACAGCCTCAACATATTATCGTTAAGCCAACATATGCTCAGCGGCTGATGTATCGATATAAATAATTGAATATCACCTTGCGGCAGAGGGTTACTAACATTCTTAAACAGTTCACTGGAATCAATTCCTATTATATATTCATCCTAACTGTTCAATTTAATTTCGCTCACAAAGAGGCGTTCAGTTGTGCTGTAAGATTCAAAAAAATTTAAACAAACTCGAATCGCGCAACACAGGGTGGTGGAGAGTGCGCTACCTTTCACGATTGCATTGTTAAAATTCATTTATAGTGCAGAATTTGAGCAAAAATGAGCACCTTATGCTTCCTAATACCTTGCATCTCAAGAGTAAACTTTACTTCAATCTCTTACGCATGAGATGATAACTGATCGTTATTGCTGCCATAATCATTAGCATTTGGATTGGAATGCATATTTTGGTTCTTCGTTTGATTCATTGTAATCAAATCGACAGTTGTCAGTTAACGCATAACA